GCCGATACGTCTTGGCAAGACAAATTCCGGAGACAATCATAACCATGAAAAATGAAAATTAAATAACTAGCACAATTTTGTAAATCAATTAACATGCAGCATTAACATAGTAAGGAAATTAAAATTTGCCCAACTTCAATTAATGTTGTTGCCGGTCGTTTTCAGGGAACGTATTTGAATGGGCCTTAAGACTCGTTCAAAAAGGCCCAACAATGTTGGTCCAACATCGTGAAACAGTTTAAAAAGTTGGTTTAATTAAAAAGTACTTTATAGTTTTGAAGCCTTTTTGAAAACCCATAAGATTTATCAAATTGGCAAAAATCTGCGCCTTAAAATATTTGCTAAAGGAACGGCATAAAACATTATTATCAGTAATATCAGTGGTGTACTTTGGGCCAACAATGCTGGGTCAACGTTTGAACGAGTGGTTTGAACAAGTCTTATACTGAAGCATTTGTAGTAGTAGTTGTGACAGCAGTACAACCGCCAGTGTCTTTCACTTGTAATGCGCTGCATATGGATTGATTGAATCATTTGTATTGGAAGGGGTTTACAGTTGATACAATCTTTGAATTGTGAATGAGTGGAAACCTTGTTAATTATCCATCCTTTGTCACAACATTTACCACTTCATTTTTGAGAAAATCACGATCTTGAAGAGTTTAATATTTCTAATCATATTTTTGATGGTATAGAATGATTCAGTTTTTAATACTGAGGACAAATTGGTTTAAATCTTTTTAATATATTATGGCACATGAGTTAAAATCATGCTTGTAGTATGTTGTAAACTAGCTGTGGAGTGAATAAAATAGTGCAAATTAGCAAATTGTAATGCCATTATACTGTATACTGTACAATTTATATCACATAATTTAAATTGTCATTTAATATACTGTACATTAATATAATAAAAAAAACATGTTCTCTTATAAATTATGGAGAATTGTTTGTGAACGTTTGCACAAGGAATTCAAAGCCCTTTGCACAACCATTAATAATAACATCAGGGGCAGTGGCGTAACTTCTAAGGGACTAAGGCCCATGCCCGTCAAGACCCGGCCAGGGTGTCAGCTAGGAATCGGATTCCCTTGTGATAGGAACCGGGTGCTAAGATCCAATAATTTTTGCGTGATTTTGAGGAAAGTAACGAATTTCCAACTATAATTATAAAGTTTAAGTTGTGAGTGCCCACCCCCTACCTTCTCGCTGACGCTCTTTAGGTCAAGGGGAGCACTTTTCAGTTCAAGAGGGGCCTGGACCTCTTAACACAAAGTCATGGCATGGACCTGCAGGGGATAACAGATCGTTAATGTATGGGTTTCAGTAAGCATCGTCGTGCAGCAGAGGGTGGTTAACTGGCAGTTTAATGAGTAACGGAAATGACTATTATTTTCCTTATACTGTTTGTAGTAGTCCGTTTTGCTGTTTTGATGTGGGCAAATAAATAGAAATATAGGTTTATGTTAAATTTTTTGCTCTTAAAGTTACCACTTGTGAAGTTTACCACAATCCATCCCCTGCTTCGCTTAATGAAATCCAATAGCGTCTTGATCAGTCAACCAGTGTGATTACAACCCAATGCACTTCTTATTTATTTCAATATTACATGTGCAATGGTGAAGTAA